AATGGGAACTAATTCACATTATGGAATTGGCTGAGTGGCCACAACTCTCATGTTGATTCAGGTCAGAATAAGAAAAGTTCACCAGAGATCAAGTTTCCTGCAAGCAAACCATCCAGGGGAGATTATTACAGGTTCTTCAGGCAAGAGGAGACTACATCAGAGCAGAACAAAAGGCTACCTCCTAATGGCAAAGGAGACGCCTAAGTTTAGAGGTCAAAGACCTCAGCTTTGTTGGAATCTGCTCATATATTCCCACCTCAGTTTTTCAGGATTCTATTCCTTCCCTCTGATGCCCTATTATAGGTTGTGAACCAATCAATGTGTTATCATTCACTTGGTGACTGAATTTGACTTTGAGTCGCCTTTTTGTTAAAAAAAGAAAGAAAGAAAGAAAGAAAAGGAGAGGAAAGTAAAGGAAAAAGGAAGGAGGGGAGGGGGGAGGGTGGGAAGGAGGGAAGAGGGAGGGAAGGAGAGAGAGAGAGAGGGAGGCAGGGACAAAAAGAACAGAAGGGATTGGGAGGGAGACAAACCATAAGTGACTCTTAATCTCACAAAACAAACTGAGGGTTGATGGGGGGAGGGGGGTGGGGGGGCGTGGGGTTATAGACATTGGGGAGGGTATGTGCTATGGTGAGTGCTGTGAAGTGTGTAAACCTGGCGATTCACAGACCTGTACCCCTGGGGATAAAAATATATTATATGTTTCTAAAAAAATAAAAATAAAAATAAAAAAAAGAACAAAAGAGACAAAGAAAGAAAAGAAAGGAGAGAGAGAGAAAGGAAGGAAGAAAGGAATGTTTATATAACAAGTCCCCAAAGTGTTAATATGTAGCCACGCTCAAAACTAAGATGGGAAAATCCCCCAGAGCCCCCCCCCCCAAAAAAGAGCTGATGGTGTCAAGTAGGAGTTGAAACTGAATGGCCCACAAAGGCCAATGGAACTGGATACACAATTAGAGGTTTAATTTAGTGTAGATGGAAGTCAAGGTCAGAGGAGCCATGCACACAGGCAGAGTAGTAAACTACCCAATATTAAGAATGAAAGACTAGTTCTCTTTCACTGGCTGAGGAGAAACAGGTAGTCCCTATTGTTACCACCATCTCTGGCCCAATCTAAAGAACAAGATCAATCAGAAGGGCAGATACAAGAATCAAAAGGAAACCATTCTGAAATCCTGACTGTACCAGGCTCAAGTTAGGCTCTACTTGTGATCTTTCCCGTTATGGGAGACATTATCTTTTTGGCTTAACACAGGGATCAAAAGGCGTATTCTGTAAAGCTCTAGAAAGTGTTTTGGATTTTGTGGGCCAGCGTTTGTCACAACTACTAAACTCTGTCACTGCAATGAGAAAACAGTCATAGATACATAAATGAATGGGCATTGCTCTGTTCCAATGAAGCTTTAAAGGGAGTGGACCACATTTGGACCACAGGAAACAGCTTGCCAACCTTCGATTCAACACACTAAATGAAAATTACCATGAGAGTTGATGGGCTATCCTGGGATCACTAAACAAAACTAAACACAGAAGGCCTAGGATTTCTCCTATCTAACGCAACTTGAGGTAGCACGGGCTTTACACAGCATGTGAAGGTGTGGTCCAAGAAGTCAACTTTGGAAACCTGCCTCCCACATTATATCCTTTGCTGAGTAAAGCCACTTAATCAAAAAAGCCTCAAGGATGAGTGAAATGACTATGTCGGAAATGGTATTCAAACCTGCTCAACAGCTTGCTCCCATCGTGCTAGATGCTCCCCTTATACATAGCTTTTCCTTAGGGAATCTTTGTTAAATTTTACCTCAAAACATATATACTTTCTTTCTCCATCTTCATGATTTGCCCACTCAGTTACTCTGTAAACAATTTTCTCATCATTCCTTTTCTCCACAACTCAAGGTTTTCTGTGCCATGGTGTCTGGAAAGACCCAGCTACTTCCCTAATCAGACCAAGCACTGGAAAGGACCAGCCAGTACCCTGGGATATCTATTCCCCCCGTAGGGAAGTCTGACAAGAATAAGGATGTATAAATTTCCACTGTTGGAACTACACTAGAATCTTCTAGTCCCATGGAGTTATGCCTAAACTTCAAATATACTAATTACAAATACACAGTTATACTCACTAATGTATCTGTCTCTGAATGACCACAGAAATTTTTTTAACAACTGATTTCCAGAGTTCTATTCCTTAGTTTTGGTCTTATATACATGGTGATAGGATTTCTTACTGTTAAGAGATACGTTCTTGGGGCGCCTGGGTGGCTCAGTGGGTTAAGCCGCTGCCTTCCGCTCAGGTCATGATCTCAGGGTCCTGGGATCGAGTCCCGCATCGGGCTCTCTGCTCAGCAGGGAGCCTGCTTCCCTTCCTCTCTCTCTGCCTGCCTCTCTGCCTACTTGTGATCTCTGTCTGTCAAATAAATAAATAAAATCTTTAAAAAAAAAAAAGAGATACGTTCTTATAAATTTTAAAATCATAGTTTACTGTGATTTAATAATTTGATTAATTTAATAATTTAATAATTTGATTTCATAAAATAACAGTATTTTACTATAAAACTGATGCTTAATAAAAAAACTGAGTAAAATAACTGAGAAACCCCTGAAAATCTTGCTGTTTATGTGGGGTAAATATCCCTTCACATGACTGGATGATTAACACATTCACAGACACACATGGTTGATTAAGGTATGTGATGTCCCTAAACTACCTTAAACTGTTACATTCTTCCATCTTAAGTCTTGGCCATCATTTTAATGAGTCTGTTATTGCATAAGTTTATCAAAATACATTTATATAAATTCCTGATGAACATTTATTTCCACTTTTACAAGATTGAGTTAACAGCATTGATGTCTACTGACCTTTTCTCCCTATTTAAATCTCCTAATCATATATTCTTATTCTATCATCTCCAGACCAAAGGGATTCCACATTCTGTATTTTGACATATACTGACCAACTTCAAAAAGTAATTATTTGGGGCACCTGGGTGGCTCAGTTAAGGGTCCAACTCTTGAGTTTTGCTCAGGTCGTATCTCAGGGTTGGGAGATCGAGCCCAGTGTCAGGCTCCACACTGAGTGTGGAGCCTTCTTGGGATTCTCTCTCTAAACAAACAAACAAAACTAAATAGCCATTATTCAATCCACTGCTAGGAAAAAATGTGAAAGTCAGTCATGCCCCAGTAATCAATGTGTTTGATAAAGTTACCGAATTTCGACAAATAATTTTTTCTTCTTTTTCTGTCTGGGGAGAGCAAGGAGTAATAGGGTAGAGAACTTGACAAAAGTAATCTACTTCAAATAGCCTCTCTACCTAAGAAGTTTGTTTTGTGTTGTTAAGACTTTATTCATTTACTTGTCAGAGACAAGGAGTGAGAACACAAGCAGGGGGAGTGACAAGCAGAGGAAGAAGCAGGCTCTGCACTGAGCAAGGAGCCTGATGTGGGGCTCGATCCCAGGACCCCAGGATCATCACCTGAGCCAAAGGCAGATGCTTAACTGCCTGAGCCACCCAGGCGTCCCTACCTAAGAAGTTTTAATGAAAGTAATGCTAAAACCCTTATTTGGAAGGCAATCATATCAAGTGTGGTTGGAAATGTGGAGACTAAGAAACCAATGATCAATTCAACATTTACTAAGGAACGTATGTCATTAGTATAACTTTGACACTTACACTCCTGCCTTCACATCGAGAATAAAAATGAATAGTAAGGGGCGCCTGGGTGGCTCAGTGGGTTAAGCCTCTGCCTTCGGCTCAGGTCATGATCTCAGGGTCCTGGGATCGAGCCCCGCGTCGGGCTCTCTGCTCAGCGGGGAGCCTGCTTCCTCCTCTCTCTCTGCCTGTCTCTCTGCCCACGTGTGATCTCTCTCTCTGTCAAATAAATAAATAAAATCTTTAAAAAAAAAAATGAATAGGGGACGCCTGGGTGGCTCAGTTGGTTAAGCGGCTGCCTTCGGCTCAGGTCATGATCCCAGCATCCTGGGATCGAGTCCCATATCAGGCTCCTTGCTCGGCAGGGAACCTGCTTCTCCCTCTGTCTCTGCCTGCCTCTCTGCCTACTTGTGATCTCTCTCTCTCTCTCTGACAAATAAATAAATAAAATCTTAAAAAAAAAAAAAGATAAGGTTTAAAAAAAAAAATGAATAGTAAAATGGCTTATTGTAGGATTAGCAATCAAGTTTCCAGTCTGTGCTATCATAAAAGATAACAATTTGGTATTCCACTGATTTTACGCAGTGTAAGTTCAAAGTCCAAAATGATAGGACCCACCTTGATAAGAGGCTGGGAAAGACAGGAGCTCATCACAAGGCAATGCCAAATTACTAGGACAAATTACTAGTTTTCTTGCATTTCAACTCTGTCTCCCTGAATTAATTTCATTAAGGCCACATTGAGGTTACTTGTTCTGAATACAAATTTTTATGAAATTCTGGAGGTGATCGTAACACAACTATCAAAAGATCCATTTCCCCTGTTTATTAACTGAACAAGTATTGCGCACCTCCCAAGTCCCTGGCAATGTTAAGACTACGTAGATTCAGAACAAGTCTCTGCATTTATAGAGCTTACATTCTAATGGGCATTACTTTGTGTGTCCATCATGTTTTTATACAAGGCCTGATAAAACTCATCCTTTCCAAAGCCTCCCCTGAGTAGTATTTAATAAAGGTCAAAGTTCAAACTGTACCTTACTATGCCACTCATAAGTGTTCTCTTCTGTGTGGCCTCCTGACTACTGGGATGTGTTAAACTGTGGCTCAAACACTGACTTTCGTGAAACAAAGGATTTTTTTCTTTTGAACTTCATGATTGGAAGAATTCACATGACACCTGGGTTTTCTTTTAAAAAATCATTTTATACAGCTATTTTCTTGTGTGGACTCTTTGATGTTCTTCCCGCTCCTATTACTTTTATAGGATTTATCACCAGCATGGATTCTGTGATGAATGGTAAGATTTGATCGCCAGCTGAAGCTCTTACCACATGTCTCACACTTGTAAGGTTTCTCCCCCGTGTGAACTCTCTGGTGAGACTGTAGCTGTGAAGAGCGACTGAAGACCTTACCACACACATCACATTTGTACGGTTTCTCTCCAGTGTGGACGCTCTGATGAAGCTGAAGACTTGAGGCCTGACTGAAGTGCTTACCACACTCCCCACACTTGTACGGTTTCTCTCCTGTGTGGACCCTCTGATGCATGTCAAGATTCAAGCTCCACTTGAAGCCCTTCCCACACTCCTCACATTTGTACGGCTTTTCCCCAGTGTGGACTTTTTGATGGGCTTGGAGGTGTGAACTGCGACCGAAACTCTTCCCACACTCTTCACATTTGAATGGTTTCTCTCCACTGTGGACTCTCTGATGGGCCAGAAGATTTGAGGCCTGCCTGAATACTTTCCCACACTCCTCACAATTATATGGTTTCTCTCCTGTGTGGATTCTGCAATGAATTTTGAGATCTGCTCTACGACTGAATCCTTTTCCACACTCGTCACATTTGTATGGTTTCTCACCAGTATGGATCAGCTGGTGAATCTGAAGTCGGGAACTCTGATTGAAGCCCTGCCCGCACTCCTCACACTTGTAAGGTTTCTCTACGCTGTGCGCCTTCAGATGGATTTGAAGATATGAACTCTGACTGAAGCCCTTTCCGCATACCTCGCATTTATAGGGTTTCTCCCCTGTGTGGACTACCAGATGAACTTGATAATGGGAGTTCCTCCTGAAACTCTTCCCACACTCATCACATTTGTATGGTTTCTCTCCTGTGTGGACTCTCTGATGGGCTTGAAGATTTGAACTCAGAGTAAAGCCTTTACCACACACATTACATATGTAGGATTTCTCTCCAGTGTGAACACCCTGATGGGCCTGAAGACTTGAAGGGCGACTAAAGCCTTTACCACATTCCTCGCATTTGTAGGGTTTTTCTCCTGTGTGGACCCTCTGATGAATGTATAGATTTGAACTACAAATGAAGCCCTTCCCACACTCCTCACATTTGTATGGTTTCTCTCCCGTATGGACTCTCTGATGGGACTGAAGATGTGAATTCCGACTGAAGCTTTTGCCACATGCATCACATCTGAATGGTTTCTCGCCAGTGTGGACTCTCTGATGGTCCTGGAGATGAGAGGCCTGACTGAAGGCCCTTCCACACTCCTCACAATGATAAGGTTTCTCTCCTGTGTGGACTTTACAATGAACAGTAAGTGCTGATCTACGACCAAAGCCTTTCCCACACTCCTCACATTTAAATGGCTTCTCTACAGTGTGGACTTTCTGATGGGTTTGCAGAAGTGAGCTCTCATTGAATTCCTTACCACATTCACCACGCTTATAGCCTTTCTCCCCGACGTGAACTCTCTGATGAATACGAAGAACTGAGCTATAACGGAAGCCTTTTCCACACTCACTGCAGGTATGAGACTTTGCTTTTGAGTGCAACTGCTGATGAAGATCAAAGGTAGAGAGATCACTAAAAGTTTTTCCACATTTGTTACATCGGTGAGGTTTTGGTCCTGTGTGAATCATACTATTCTGGTCCAATGTTGAAATCTTCACACTGTCTTTCTCACTATCATCGTTGCTATAAGATTGGTCACTTCTGTAAATTCCTTGATTTAGATGATGTGAAATCCAACCAATGACATCAACATCCTGTTTACATTGACACAGCTTATTTTTCATGGAAACTTGCTGGGATCTGTTCCGATAACTCTGTGACTCAGTCAGAGAAGATTTCCTCCACGAGTCCTGGGCTCTCAAATTTGGAAGGTGTGAGTTTTCAGTACTATTAGGACCATCCACTTTACAACGTGGTATACAGTTCTCATCTTCAGAAATTTGAATGGAGAGTCCTGTCCCAAGCTGGCAGGGAGAATCACCTTGTTTGTGAAGTTGAGAACTATTTATCATGGAGTCTGGAGGTCTGGATAGGTCATTTGTAATGTGTTGCCAGATTGGCCAGCAGGAAAGCTCTTCACGTGGCTCTCTGCCTTGAACAGTCCTCAGCGCACTTTGGCTGTTCCCTCCTATAGGGACAGAAGTCAGAGATGTGGAAAAGTGAAAACTTTGTTCGAAGAGTCAAGATCTCACACTTAGGACACCGTAAGAGACTTTAACGAACCCCAGGATGGTTTTGCTTACCTTTTTCACCATATATGAAATACTCTGGCTTACACACTGATCGAAACCAACAACTTAGCATTAATGAAATCCATCTAAAACAAAATTACTACCACCTGACAATTTAAGTCATTTTTCAAAAATTACCTGGTCTTTCCCACCACCGTACAGTGTCAATAAGGACAAGCAGCTGGCAGTGTTGACAGCTTTTAATAGTGCCTAGCAGTCAGTAGGTGTTCAGGAAATGTATGCACAGATGAATCCCAGTCTGATGTCTGAGATTGTCTAGAATTCTAAATCCCAGTTTAAGTGTAAACAAATCAGAGCAGCACAAGTGAGATGTCTGAAATAGGACAAGGATGGGAAAATACAGTTTGCTAAGAAGTTGAAAGTCTGCAACAGAAGCAGCAGTATACTAAGGGGGTACTGAGGAGAAAACCAAGGGTGCTAAAGAAAGAAAAGCACGAAGATCTATACACTAGATCCTTCTGAGACTTTGGTACTGGCTCTCTAAATGCCTTCCCCCACCCCCGCCCCAAAGCCCCACCTCAAAAGGAGTCAAATTTAGAGGCCAGGGAAGAATGCTGTCTCTCTGAAAATTGTGTGGAAAATTTTTGTATATAGATACATTGGCCTTCAACAAGAATGACTGTTTCGAAGTGCAGAGCGCAGTTTATTGGTGAGCTGGGAAATAAATTCCATTGCTTATGATATTTAGAAGAAACATACTAGAAACTATAAGGAATCATCACAAGTAGGAAAGCTGTCTGTCATACAAGAAATGCCTTCAAAAGTCATACATTTATTTATTTATTTTCCATTTTATTTATTTATTTTTAAATTTAATTTAATTTTTTCAGTGTTCCAAGAAAGTCATATATTTAAATCCATACACAAACATTAAGTCTGCAGTAACAACATAAGATCCATTTATGATTATATATCTGCATTCGAAAGAAGCAAATGGGATGCAGCTGGGCAAACCTTTTTAGGGAAAGGCTAACTCACAAGCTGGCTATTTTCTGAGACCTTCCATGCCCTGATATAAAAGATATGGAAGTTGAATTTTTTTCCCTCCGCTGGGGGAGCTGCCTAAGAAGTGGACAGAAGAATCCTCTATCAAAAAAAAAAACAACAACAAAAAAACAACAAAGGGTGCCTGGGTGGCTCAGTGGGTTAAACCGCTGCCTTCAACTCAGGTCATGATCCCAGGGTCCTGGGATCAAGCCCTGCATCCGGCTCCCTGCCCTGCAGGAAGCCTGCTTCTCCGTCTCCCCCTCCCCCTGCTTGTGTTCCCTCTCTCGTGTTTCTGTCAAATAAATAAAAATCTTAAAAAAAAAAAAAAAAGAATTCATTTGAAGACAAAAAATATTTTGCAATATCCCTTCTTCACATGGATCTGTCCACCGCCTCTTAGCTATTTCTGTGGAGGGCAGGTTTTCCTATAAATTGACTCATTCATTTATCCAACATCTATTTACAGGGCCCCTGTCATGTACCAGGACTATTCTAAGCACCAAGGACAGTGAACAATCAACAAAACAGACAAATTTCCTCCACTCTTGAAGATTACACTCCAGTGAGGAGATGAAGATAAAATAAGCAAATGAATAAAAATACGTGAGGCGACGATCACCCAAAATAAGGCAGCGCAGAGTGTCAAGAGAGAAGGACATTTTCAACAGGGTGGTCAGAACCCTCACGGGAGATTAGAACGGAGTGACCTGCAGGAAGTCCAGAGGGGTCTGAAGGGTTCCAGGTGAGAGACTATTCCAGGCAGAGAGGAACAAGTGAAGGACTCTGGGGCAGAAGTTTCCTTCGCAGGTCTGAGCAACGGCAGGGAGGACAAGGTGGGGGGGAAGGCGGAGCAAGAGGAAGGACAGCGGCATTCACCCAGGCCATGGGGGATGAAGAGCAGATCCCAGAGGACTCGTTACAGAAGCTGCTCTCGGTGGTTTTTACTCCAAGTAAAAGAAGTAAAAGAGAATTCTGAACAGCAGACTACCATGATCGGACTTGAAGTTATAGAGGATCCCCCGGGCTGCTACTTAAAGAACAGGCCACGGGAGACAGGTGGGAGCAGGCGCCACTGTGAAGCCTGCAGCGATAACGCAGGGAAAAGGTCTGGCACTTGGACACAGGGGACAGCACACGGGTGCGCTGAAACAGAAACAAAGCAGATGGGCCGGAAACTGCAACAACGCACAGCTGCTTCATTCTTACCCACATTTCTCTCTATCTGGGGTGCTGTCTTCGTCAACCACAGCCTCTCTTCTCTTTCTGTGCGCCATTTATCTCGTTTAAAGGGTTGATGTCCTGAGAACATGCAAAGTCATGAGTTAAAATGAGCATGCTACTTCCTAGAGAAGTTTATCCTGTTCTGCAAACCGCGAACAGTAGTCTTTGAAGGGTTGCCATCCCTCTAGACAAAGATTTCCCGCTTCTTTTTGTATGTTCTTCTTACAAACAATACCTTCACTGAAAGAAAAGCTTTGGGGAACAGATACATAGAATGTATTAGTTTATTTCTTCATCCTGTGTTTAGTGTCTAAAGACCCATGTGGGGGCACCTGGGTGGCTCAGTGGGTTAAAGCCTGGGCCTTCAGCTCCGGTCATGATCCCAGAGTCCTGGGATCGAGCCCCGCATCGGGCTCTCTGCTCAGCAGGGAGCCTGCTTCCCCCTCTCTCTCTGTCTGCTTCTCTGCCTACTTGTGATCTCTGTCTGTCAAATAAATAAATAAAAATCTTAAAAAAAAAATAATAAAGACCCATGGGATAGAAACCAAGCTTTGGTTTCTGGATACATGCGCTTACCAGCTTTTATACCAATCTAACGAAAGATGATACTCTTGGGCACCTGGGTGGCTCAGTTAGTTAAGCAACTGCCTTCGGCTCAGGTCATGATCCTGGAGTCCCAGGATAGAGTCCTGCATTGGGCTCCCTGTTTAGTGGGGCATCTACGTCTCCTTCTGCCCCTTACCCCTCTCATGCTCTCTCTCTCTCTCTCAAATAAATAAATAAAATCTTAAAAAAAAAAAAGAAAGAAAAAGAAAAGAAAGATGATACTCTTGTTGCCCTGTTAACAAAACATTTGGTTTCATCCAAAAAGTACATGTTTCCTCCATGTTGATTTAATTATATGGATGCGTTAGTAACAAAAGCAACCCTGTGACTTTTGGACAATAGATTTATCGGTCTATAAAGTGAAGCCAACTTCAAAAAACAGATTCTCAAGATTTGTACTTCTATTTTCACAAGGGCCTTACCAAGTACATAAATCTGTTTTTGAATTACAACTGTTAATTAAAATTGCAAGTAGGTATGTTAAAAAATAAATAAAACGAACATGCTAGAAGTAAAATTTACTGGAAATTTGAGTTCCAACTGCATATTCAAGACATCGAAAGTGTGTTTTTCAAACCTTTTTTTAATCATGACCCATTGAAGAGACAGCATTTATTTCATGACCCAATTACAAACACAGAGAGAGGTATTACCCAAAGTTTGAATGACCTATTTCTAACCTGTCTGTTTTCACTATATCTCCTCCCAGCGGCCCTCACACACTCGTGCAATCAACTAGTTTTTTGCTGCAATGTATCCAAAGAAGTTCTGATATTCTCTCTCCTATTGATTTCATTCAAAACTACTCACAGAACTCAGCAAATCAGTTTTATAATTCACTAATATGATAGGAGTGAGATCTGAAATCAAATAGACAAGGTATAGCAGTATACTGTCTGTTTATAGTCCTTTACAAAAACCCAAATGAAAAAGACCTAAAAGATCCTGTTCAGAAAGACCAGAAACATCCTATGTCCCGCCAAGAATTAGCAAAGTCCAATCCCTAAACTCAGGGAACCATTTTAAGGGCCCCAAAGCCTTAAAACCCCAAGGTGACAAAGATCCTCCAGAGGGAGGCTGTTCTCACCCACTGAGACCAGGTTCCTGAAGTTTTCTAACATGACGTCCTGGTAAAGCTTCCTCTGGGCAGAGTCCAGCAGCCCCAGCTCCTCCTCCGTGAAGGCCACCGCCACGTCCTTGAACGTCACCGCCTCCTACACATACAACAAACACATACAACCTCAATTTTACACCTAAGGTCGACTGGGAGAGGTGGGAGGATGGGTGGGGAGGACTGGTGGGGAGGTGCTCTGGCCCCTGAGCAATCTGTAGAT